TTGTATTTGTGTATTGTTGTCATTCTTACTACTGCAACAGGTGTATGAGTATCTGAAAGTGTATTTAAGTCTAAGAATTCATGTTATATCAAAATACACTGATGAGCTGAAACTTTACAACCACCCCTGGCTAATATGGTGTTGGTTCAAAACAGTGACAACCTGCCAAGGCACAGACTCGACCTCTGAATGTGCCCTGTGATTTATATATTATACTAGTCTCACAGCCACCATTACAAGGTAATCAACGTTGATATGTGATTGGTCATGTTCTGGCTCATTGGTGAATCTTTCCTCTGTTAAAACAAAAGCATAGTGAGGTGGAATAAAAGACACAAGATGAAAAATGTAAGGTTTCCCCAAAGCAAAGCAGTGAATGGGGTAAATGAACAAAATGCAGCTTTCAGGAGATGAGCCTTTGTCCTGAGTGTCTTTTACTTGGAGCAGTTTTGCTCTTCTGCTGCATACAGCTGGATGCAGAGAGAGATCTGTGTGTTTGGTGTTACGGAGGAGGAAAAACAAAAGGCACAGCCAGAGAGAGTTTGATAAATGTTCTACATTAAAGGTTTTTCACAAGCATCAAACACGTGCATTATTGTGATTGGGAAACTGGCCTGGAATGATTCCTGGTAATGGGTTACATTAACAAAGAAGCACTGCGCAGTGTTGGCTGTGGCTGTGTGTGTGTGTGTGTGTGTGTGTGTGTGTGTGTGTGTGTGTGTGTGTGTTGTTTCTACAGCATAAAGCAAACACAATATAAATCACGTGCTTTAGAAAATTATCTATAAGAGCCGTTTTGATCTGGGAAAAAGTGAAAACGCACACAGATCGAGGTTTACATATTTTGGTACATATTACAACATAACTCTATAAGTCTTAGGTTCTGTGTTTTTTATACTAAAAACTGATATATTGTGTATTTTTACTTTTTTTACTTTTACTTAAATAATTTTGATTTCAAAGGAGGTTTTTATTACTTTCTACAAAGCAGGCTTTTTACAAACTTATGCAATCTGTGAACATTGCATGTCCTCCGGATGGAGGACTACTGAATTATTCATCACTTACTGTAAATATGTGTTTGTGATGATATGATAGCACTGTTAAGAATCATAGTTCTTCACTTTACTACAGCATATAAGACCTACATTACTATACTTTCTTTACAGTTCTAAACTTTCATTGGATTTTACCAATTAGGCAATCATAAGATTTATTTGTATCACCTTGGTGTAACAGCCTGGCTCCCTTGTCCCCCTCATCTCTTCAGTTAAATCTTCATTTCTAACAACGCTGCTTTCTGTATTATTTCTGTGGTGTTTACAGTAAAGAAGCAGGATGGAGCAGCTGCCATGGAGATGCAGCCTCTTAAGAGTGCTGAAGGCGGAGAGACCGATGAAAAAGAGAAGAAGAAGGTGTCCGTCTCAAAGAAGGAGAAATCTGTGCTGCAGGGGAAGTTGACCAAACTGGCCGTCCAGATTGGCAAAGCAGGTACAACAAATTCCTCTGGACAAGTCCATCACTCAGTCAGGCATTTAAATCAGGTCCATCACAGCAAGATATTGCACAAAGGCAAGATTCCCTTCTGAGGTCACTTGTGGCAGGTAGAGCAGTTAGGAAATAAGTGCCAGAATGAACCCGTGCACTTTATTTTTCTAAATGACTCGCCTTCAAGGAAATTGCTGAATCATTGTCATGGGAACAACTGCAGCTTTCAACGGTCATCATAACTTTTTACCATCAATTGCTTTTCATTTCATTTAAAGTTATTCATGGTAAGAGGGTTTCTAACACACTTGCACTAGAGATAGATCTGTACCAGTAAGTAGTTTAGGTAACAGATGCAAATGTTCTCACATTGTGGGTGTCCTCCCAGCAGCAACATAGTGGCGTTATTGTTGAACAAATGTTAGCTCGGCAATGCAAAGGTTTCCTGACCAGTCTGGAGAATTCAGCATTCTTTAAAGTAGAATCTCTAAAATCTTACTTGATAGCTGTCAAGGGAGTTAAAAGAACCTGGAATAAAGCAGCTATTTTCTTTTTCACTCTGTCAAACATTTTCACTGAATTCCTTAAAGAAGTCATCATTGTAACAGTGAGCTGTTATATCCGGCTGCTGGTCTGAGTGACGGAATGAGGACGTGGTGTCAGAACAATGATATACCATGGCTGGATTAGTATACGAGCAGCACTGTAAGATCATATGTTGTTCCAGTGCAAGTGGTAGAAAATATTTGGACTTGATACACTTACAGGGCCCTGACCTTCTGGCACATATGTCAGGTTTTATTTGCTATATTTTACTGTGGCTCTACTGATCTGAATCTACCCGACACCTGGTGCAGCTAATTGTCTGCAGCGTCTATAGGAAATCTTTATCTGCAAAAAATTATCATTTGCACATAATGATTTTTCACACACACTGGCATGTAGTCAAGTCCACAACTATTCGTTTTAGACCTTTGACAATAGAAGGATAGAAAGTGTATATGTGGTTATGGTCACCCACAAGCAATCACACTCCAAGATGATTGTAAGTTTGACCTTATTAAAGATTAATGCAGTCTAATAGAACAGCCCTGTAATAAATTCTATGTTAACGATTGGCCGTTTCCAATAAGAACATATTGTTTTTTGCATGTTTCACTTTCATCTTATGTCATATATTTTCCTTGGCTGATACCTGTTGTATCTTTCCCAGGTTTGCTCATGTCGGCCATCACAGTCATCATCCTGGTCCTGTACTTTGCCATCGACAACTTTGTATTGCAGAAGCTCCCGTGGATGACAGAGTGCACTCCCATTTACATCCAGTATTTTGTCAAGTTCTTCATCATCGGTGTCACTGTGTTGGTGGTGGCTGTGCCAGAGGGGCTGCCGCTGGCCGTCACCATTTCCCTAGCGTATTCTGTCAAGGTGAGCAATGTCAGACACTACTTATACTGTGGTGCCGTTGTACCCCAGCAAGGGCATGTGTGAATTTTTAATAGTTCTCTGGGCTTTAGTTCAATATATTTTCAACAAAACTTTAGCAGTAGCTGCTGCTAAAAAGCTGCTCTTTAAAAAAAAAGGGGGGGGGGGGGTATATCCCATATATTTAATGGTGTTTTTTTAATGCTATAACTTTTTTTATGAAAATTTTGATTTGCTTGAATACATGAGGATTCAGTTTTGTTAATTCCTGCATTATGTTAACACATTCGATTCACAAACACAAAAAGAAAATTTTGTTGAAGGCCGAATGCTAAAAGCTGTGACTTATATATTATATATTATATAAGCACAAACATCCCTCTTCTTAACACATCCATTTCAAATATTTAAATGCATATAAGTGCAAATATGTCACAATCATCATGTCGCTTCCTACCAACAGAAAATGATGAAAGACAACAACTTGGTGCGTCACCTGGATGCGTGCGAAACGATGGGCAACGCCACCGCCATCTGCTCTGACAAGACAGGCACGCTGACCACCAACCGCATGACGGCCGTGCAGTGTTACGTTGGAGATGTGCACTACAAATTAATCCCAGACCCTGGAGTTCTGCCACCCAAAACACTTGACTTAATGGTCAATTCCATCGCCATCAACAGCGCCTATACCACCAAGATACTGGTAAGCCATCTGTTATTGAAGCCACTTTTGAACAAGCCTCTATTTGAAGCTTTGCAAATAAACTGACAAAATATTATAGCAGGAAATATGTTCACTTATTTATCACAAACAAAATGCAAATGGGTCTTTTTTATGTAAGTTAAAACACCACAGGGAAACCATTCTATTAAAATCACATGTGGCACCTTCTATGAAGCCATGTCTATATATTCTAGATTTTCCATTATAGTAAATCTTTAATAGCCGAGACTTAGATCTCAGCTGTGTGTGTGTGGGTGACACCATATGATGAGATCAGCCTAGATACAGTGAGACAGTGCAGCAGTGCTTTCTTCTTGGCTGAGCAGGCAGTCGGTGTCCTTGGCTGCTGCTTTAGATTCATCAAGCATTCACTCAACTTGTCACCTTGAGGACGATTGTGCAATTTTGTCTTATCTCATATTCAGAGCGTAGCCGACTGTAATTGAATCCAATCTGTCTAAGATGGTCTCTTGTTTACAGTGAATTCATCAAAGATAAGTTTCCCCGAGCCAATTAGACCTGCATTTAGTAAAGGATAGATAAATAGATAGATAGATCGATAGATAGATATTATGCACGTAGACAGACAGATGGACACAGACTGTTGTTATCAGGGAATCTGAAATATGTTTGCGTGGATATCTCTTTAGGCTACAGATCTAAAGTAGTATTATCATAACCAAGTGTTTTTACAAACGTATCCTGGAAAGCAAAGATCACTAAGATAAAGAAGTCTTCAAACTGTTGAAGCTACATGCTTGAGTAATCTTTTCCTGGCATGACCATGTGCACTCACCTGCACACAGACACACTTTTCTGTGTGTACCCTTGGAAACCCCTCTGGTGTCTGTTCATTGAAGGCTGACAAACTGACAAATGCCTTTACTTGCATAATATAGCCGAGCAGGTGGGACATCTGCGTTTGAAGGATCCCCCAGATTTCCCTTCCTACCCCTCAAGGCAGAATCGCAGTGTTAGAGTATTGGTGAAGACAGAGTGGGCTACAGATTCTAGTTTTAACTTGAACATACAGTCGATACACTCAGGCAGTGCAGTTGCTTTGAGCATTTCTCTACCCAGGCGTGCTACATTAACAAGATGTTATCCCGTTTGAGAAACCTGGAGGAATGCTTCGCAGCATTACATCAGACTATTGTACCTCTGTAGCTGCTGAGCTCAACGGAATTAAGGACCTGCAGAGTGAAGCTTAGACTTGGTGGATTAAATAGCACCTTTAGTCTGTTTTAATCTCTTCATTCATAAAAGAAGTTACCTCATTCCACGAAGGTGGAAGTTAAACTCAGGGCAAACTTCAAATGATATTACATACAGTACTGTGCTAACCACTTCACTACCTGACTTCATCACTGTTATATACTGTAAATACACAGAGATTTCTTCCATAAATATAATATGAAACATCAAATTTAGTGCATAAATAGTGCGTAGTAGTGTTGGCATGAATGTGTTTATTTACTGAGAGTTCTTATGTAGAAAAGCTGCAGTGAAAGCGAGATGATTAAGGGCAGATATACAGTAATTAGAGAATGAGATGAACTCAAAGCAGGATGCAAAAGGGAAAATTCTGAAGAATATTCAGAGCATCTCTTCCTCCTTCCCTCCTCCGACCACCCCCACTCCCTCAGCGCCACTCCTGCAGTATGCTGGCTGGTGTGTTCTTATATAAGAGGCCAATCCTGTGGGATGCCCGGATGGCTATGGGATTCTTTGATGGCCACCACACAAAGGCACAAAGGCAAAGAGGCAGGCTTTGATACCTGTATCAGTCGCCCACTGCCTCTCTGGCTTCATAATACAGCCATGGGTGTAGCTCTGCCTCTTCTGTCAGCACATACAGACTCTAAAGTGGAGAAAGCTCCTGCTCCAGGGAGGAATTCACACACATATACACACATTTACTGAACCCGGCACACATACAGTATGTGCACACTCATGCACATCATAAACATGCACATTCTCATACATACTTGATTCACAAATACTGTTTGAAACATGAGTGTATGCAAGTATTCTTTAGTCAGGCTTCAGATATTTTTTCAAGTTCGAGTATTTATAATGGAACAGGTGGTTTAAATGTTCTTTGACTGTATTGCTGTGAACTGGTAAACATATATATAGTATGAAAATGATACAGCTGTGCTTTCATTCTTTTCTTTTTCTTTCAACCTTCACTTCACATCCTTAGTTATTTTCATGTTGACGTTGTCCATTAGAACGGTGTGTGTGTGCGCACTGTGTAAAGTGCAGATGCCCCTCACAGAAATGTCCATTGCGCACACACATCTGTCATATCTGGCATACTGACACTGTAGGAGGTTTTCAGATCACAGGTGCATGTTCTCACAGCACAGTGGTGTGTGTTTAGCATGACTGTGTGAGTGTCCTGAGAGCTCAGTCTCGTGTTGTTTCAACCACCTGCCCAGGTCATTATTCCGGTTAGAGAGGCACAAACACAAAAGCACACACACACACACACACATTGATGGCATCAGTTGTGTAGTGTACATGCTTTTGAGAAATGAGTAGACCATTTTAATAAAAATGAAAAGTATCAACAGGGTGTTTCAGATGTTGAAATATAGATAATAGAAAAACATAAATCTGTTAAATCTGAAAAATCCCATGTGTTGATCTACAATGAGCATTTGTAGTTTTTAATTAAAATAAACGGCTTCATGAGTGTGCACTGAGCTTGTGGTGTAATTGGCTTTGGCTCAGTGTTTTTGTCATCTGGACATAGTGTACTTGTTTGCACATGGAGGAGAGATGAGTGTCTTGGATGACTTTAGCTCAATGCTCCGAGTGTCCGAGTGTCCCCATGTTTGGAAAATTCTTGGACACTGACGTCCACAACAAACTGATGTCCAAATGTGTCCTCTTCTCTTCTCTTCTCTTCTCTTCTCTTCTCTTCTCTTCTCTTCTCCTCTCCTCTCTTCTCTTCTCTTCTCTTCTCTTCTCTTCTCTTCTCTTCTCTTCTCTTCTCTTCTCTTCTCCTCTCCTCTCCTCATCACATCAGAATGACAATGCTTTGATGTTTAAACGGCACCAAGCTTAATGGGCTCCCTGCATTTCCCTCACACATGACATGGTAGATTTTATGCTTTCATTGTTGTTATGTTGCACATCAAAGATTTATATGGAGCGTGAGGTTAGTGATAATGCTGCTGATCAGATTTAAGATTATTTTATCAAACAATACAGTGAACAAATAGGCCAGTGACTCATGTGCGACTGACATTTTATAGTGATTGTATCCTAATTTTTTATAATGTTTAGCGATCACCATGGGTTTTTTTCAGCCCTGATTTTGACATATGTCATAATAAGTTTTGACTTAAAAAGAAAAAAAAAGAGACATGTTTTTCCCGAGGAGGAATTAAACCTAAATGAAATGTAAACTGAAGGTGGTCCAGAAGTCAGGTATTAATATTATATACTACTAGTTGTATATGAAAATTCCACAGCACCAACTTGCTATCATATAAGTTACACTTAGTCAAATATATAATATGAGATCGAGTCACAAGCATCAAATAAAGTTGTTCTCTTAGTGCTTATCAGCTAATGTGAAGTAATATTCTATATGTAGAGTTTTACCCATTTGTGGCCAAAAATTAACCAAATGCAAGATATAAGGATAATTAAACTGAATTAAGAAGTAACAGGGAGGCAGGTAATGTTAGTTTATTTTCATTGTACTGAAAGGAAACTAAGTGTAGACTGTAAAATAAAACTGAAATGTATTTGTTGAAATATATATGTGAAAAACAAGGCTTCACAATATATTCTTTTTGTGTTACCAGTTTTGCGTTTACAACCTTCACACACACACAAAGATTTGATACGTCACATTACTTTGTGTGATGTCTTATTGTTTTAGAAATCAAATATCTGTAGCAGTCAGGCAAATAAGGACATAATGAGTCTGAAGGAAATAAACGGTCAGAGTTAAAAGCTGAAAGCAAATGGAAAAGGGAGCAAAGAGAGGATTAATGCAAAAAGGGATGAAGGAAGATAAGAAAATTATTCAAGAAGAGGAGCTAGAAAGCACACTCACGTGACAAGTGTCTTCATCATGGACTGTACGACTGTATTACTGCCCTCCAGCACGCCTCCAGTTCTTAGCCCAGTTGGCTGGTACAGTCATGTGGAGAGCTCGAATACCATCCACTCCTACATGCAAAGAGGGAACAGGAGGGAAGGCGAAGGCAGCGGGGGTGAAGTGACTTGTTAGAGACTGGGGAACCCGATAGTGAGGAAGAAGAAGAGAGATATCTGGAGTGGGATAGGCGCAAAGCAAGCAAAGATAGGAAAGAGAGACAGTAGGGAATATGGAAAAAAATGGAAAATGAGGGACAGTTAATAGTGCAGTGAAAAGATGATGATGGAGTGTGAATAGAACCGGGAAGAAAATGGAAAGATGGAGAAGAGAACGGGAAGGAACAGGAGGGATGGATTAAGGAGAGCCCTGGGCAGAATAGGAAGTAAAGTTGCCAGCTCTCCCTCTGGCATATGTCCTTGCCTGCGGGAGAACCAAAGGACCAGTGAGAGGGCATCTGGTCCTTCGCCACGTCCAGGCAAGGACGCGCCAACAGTGGGGAGTCATGCCAACGCTGCACATCTTATGCCAGCAACTGTCCTTGTAAGTAGAAACCCACGTCAAGCAGAACCTCTGCGGAATATCGTACAATAAAAGGCAGTGGTGCTGCTGTCGGCAACGCGACAGGCACAAGGTTCAAAAGGGTCGTCTCTTAAGTAATCATGGGTGTGTTTCGAACATAACATTCAATAAACATGCTGCTCAGATGGCTGCAGTGTGGGCACTGGACAGGAAATGACACCTGCGTTGGTTCTTATATAAATGAGTATTCTGGTGCTGTAATGAGTAAGGTGGTCATTTACATTTAGTGGTTTAGCTTGTTGTTCTGTTGCTAGGAGCCTATTCACTCAAACACTTAGCAGACAATACAGATGAGGTCATTTGTTCCATCCCCTCATTAGCTAATGACAGGCAGTGTCTTCCTGATGTAATCACTGGTCATTAGGAAAAGGCATTAATTCTGTTATTTACCACAAACTCTCCATAAAGTATTTATACTCCTCTCTGTGTCTGTGAGACACAGCTGAACATTAACCAGATATGTCCAATTACTAGGTGAACATGGGCAAGCGCTCTGATTGTTTTTTTTAAATGCGATTATAGATGACTTTCTTTCTTACCCTCTTGACTTGAGCTCCTGGATCATAGCAGCTGCAATTACAGGGACATGTACAATACGTCTGCGCCTGAAGGAATCAATATTCATTGTTTCTTTACAAAATGTGGTTTCAAGATATTGAACTGCACAAACCAGACATGCGACAAATGTATCGCCCACCAGACAATTTTCTCAAATGACTCAGAATCCTTCCAAGATATTGTGCTTCACTTGGTGTTGGATTGAAGCCAAAACTACCAAACAGAAAAGTCAAGCTTTGACACCATTGGTCAACCAACCCACTTTATCAATTTTAAGTTATGTTCCACCAAATTCCCTCAAAAGGCCAATATACAGTGTAACACCCTCAGTCCTTCGTCCATTGGCTCATAGAGTGTATATAAAAATGGTCATGACTCCCTGAAAATGAAGCCAGATCACCTGGCTCACCACCCAGTGCCTGGCTTCATTACAGATCATAATCCCAACCGAAGTAAGAAGTCAGAATACGCAATAAATTGATTTTTCTCAAATGTGTTTTTTTGTCATTTTAGTTAGTTTGTATCACACTGATGTTTGTTCATTTTGGTTTTAATAAGTTATTTGTGCTATAAATATGGGGTGAAATGATTGACTGCTGAGACTGACTCGTGATTGGTGGAGCACGTGTATCAGCAGGACTTGATGCAATGGCTTCATCTCTGCATCACTGCTGCACAGTCTCTGGCTTCAAAAGCGCAAGATGACAGCATTTGTATCTGGGATATTTTGGCATCATTTCTCAGTATCTGAAGGAAGTGGAGAAGCTTTGTCCATCTTTATGAACAGTTTATGGTTCTGATACACTTCTAAAAAACTTAAATAGACTGGAACAGAGGAGGATCTCTTTAATGTCAGTTGCACAGAGAAGAATGGAAAATAAATGTAGTAAAATTTCACTATGTTGACCACATGGAAATTCATCTTAGCCATTGTCAGTATCTTTAAAATACACATAAACACAGTTCATTAGTGCCCACTATGAAAACCTTGTTAGCCGTTGGAAGAGAAGAGTCATTTGGTGGAAAATGTGAGCATGACAATTCCTGTAAGCCATTAATGTGATTAACTATTCTGTAGATATAGTCTTACTCAAAACACTGTGGCAAGTGCAGAGTGAGGAAAACAACGGCAAAAAGTAAAATTCAAAATGTCAAAATGTCAAGCTGTCGTTTTAAATCTAAACTTGGTTGGAGGTTTGTTTAGAAGAACAAGCCTGCAGTCGACCTATTTTGGAGGCAAATAGCACAGACTGAAGGCGTCTGTTTAGTAGCAAGTTAGAAGTATTACATTCAGTGTGTGTGTGTGGTGGGGGGGGTATCATCACACTGATGAAATAGAAAACAGTGTGTTTTCAAAGAAGAAAAAGCTGTATTGCTTGTATTTCTGTGTGATATCAGGGGAAGAAATAGTGAGTAAATGGAGAGCAGCTTGGGGAAAATATTAATAAATATGGACTGGACAAGATGAAATGAGAAACAGAATTCAAGGACTTGTGTGAGTGGAGTGAGATGAGTGAGAATCCTGTGAGAGAATCAGAGCCAGAGATTCAGAATCCCCGAGAGACACAGAGAGAGAGAGAGAGAGAGAGAGAGAGCGAGAGAGAGAGCGAGAGCACCCTCTCCTTTCCCAAGTATCTCCTTCCAAGTGTGCTTCACCCAGTGTTACGATGGCAACACTGAATCTTCCACAGGCTGACCACATGTGCACACTCACACACTTGCACATACTGTAAATGTGCACCTGAACACACTGCTCAGATTTCAACAAACACACACACACACACACAACTAACCATAAAAGGCTGTACTGTCGGCTGATAATAAAAACATTCCAACTCTAAGAGGCCGAGAAAACGCTCCTCTGACATCAGACACTGTAAAATACTTAATTGCTACTCTGAGGTAAACACATTAATCATTCATGAGCAGAATTTGATATTCAATTAATATTTTTTTCAAGAAAAAAAAGACAAATATTCTGTGGTTTCTCCTTTTCAAAGGAAAATATTTGCTGCCAGTCTTTGTTTTCTCTAAGCTTTAATTTAAGGACAAAATAATAATAAATATTCACTCAATGGAGATTATATTCTGCTGATTAATTGATAGCATTAGTTGCTGTTCTAAAACAAAAACTAAACTATTAATGATCATTTCAGAACAACATAACCTGAACAGGTGAGCTAGCTGAGGCCCCACATAAGGAGGCTTGAGTCCTCCTGCAGCAGTCGCAGGTTCGATTCCAACCCGTCCCTCTGCTTTTTGTCTTCCCCCCACTCTCTGTCACCATTTAATGCGTGGACTGTCCTCTCCATAAAGGCAGAAAGACTCCATAAATATCTCATCTCATATCGCGTTTGATGCTCACGATTCACGTCCTCGTCGACATGTTGATAGTGAGGTGTTAGCTGAACCGTGGAAAAACACATAGTTCTAAATGTACAATTACAGATTGCAAAGGGGGTTGAGCTGCATGCCTGAAATAAGAACATCCAAATGTGATTCCATCCATCTCATCTCCAAACCCTCCCACACACAGCAACCCCTTCACCTGCTAGCTGCTTAATTATCACTAGCAGCTATTACACTGCTGGCACGGCACTGAAGAAAAGAAGAATATCAGCACAGAGTCGATCACAGAACAAACAGGGATGTTTGTACCTAGAGTTTACTAAACTACAGAGAAATGAAACGCAGCTGTAGATGCAATAAAAAATTTAAGATTTAGAGGAAAGGGATGGCATAGGTTGAAATAATGTAGGTGAAGGTTAAAAAGATTTTAAAGACACACTTGAGTGACCACAGACCAATTAGAAGCAGAAATGATTCTGTATTGCAAGAATATTTGTCTGAAAATAGGACTAAAAACCTCCTCTGCCTCCGTCCAGCCCCCAGATAAGGAAGGCGGACTGCCGAAGCAGGTGGGCAACAAGACAGAGTGCAGCCTGCTGGGATTGGTTCTGAGCCTGAAGCGGGATTACCAGACAGTAAGAAACCAGATGCCAGAGGAAAAGCTTTACAAAGTCTACACCTTCAACTCTGTCAGGAAGTCCATGAGCACCGTCATCAAACTGCCTGATGGGAGCTTCCGCATGTACAGCAAAGGAGCCTCTGAGATTGTCCTCAAAAAGTGAGTCTGCTTCTTGATTTATTATGAGAGGATTCTGATGATAATAGCAGCATGTGTATTAGTATAAAGTACCGCTCTGTTTTTTTCTATGGCACATATAGAAAATCCATTTTGAAGAGCTCAATGTATTTGAGAGCACTCTCTCCAGGCAGAGAGAGTGGATTGAGTTTCCACTAGAAGGTCACACAATTGGGACATTTTACAGTTTATAACAGCAACTCTGCAGTAACAAATGAGTAGCTCATAGAAACATGTGAGAGGCAGATATGAAGCTTCACACGCTGAAGGAAGTAAAAAACATTATAATCAACATTTATCTTAAATTTACAGGTAATCAGTTCATTTATTTTCAATCATATTCATCGACCTGGAAAATCACAGTTTAACTGTCACTATATTTCTCTCTGGATTAAATCCAGATGGAAATCTGTCACAAATACCTGACAATACTAAAAGGTCAATTTTGTCAGTGTTCTGGAGCTTTTGATCATATAAAATGATCATCATTTTCTAATATTGTAATTCAAATTCTAGTGATTACTTTCAGAAATATGCATATTTGTAGATTGAGTGGTATCTTCTATGTGATTGATGATTCATATCACTCGCCTACATATTATTGTCCATGTTTGATCATGGGGTGGCACCTCAAAGCAAGAAGGTTTGACTCACATTGCATTAGCTCAGTAATCAACAGTACAAATGCATCATTTCAAATACTTCCTTTCCCGCCAACCTTCAACTCATCCTGAACTCCAGATGCAGCCATATTCTGAACGAGGTGGGGGAGTCGAGGGTTTTCCGTCCTCGGGACAAGGACGAGATGGTGAAGAAAGTGATTGAGCCCATGGCGTGTGAGGGCCTGAGGACCATCTGTGTGGGGTACCGCGACTTCTCCTGCAATCCTGAGCCAAACTGGGAGGATGAGAACAACATTCTAACTGACCTCACAGCCATCTGTGTCGTAGGGATAGAGGATCCCGTCAGGCCAGAGGTAGGAGCATATTTTGGTGGAACACTGAGAAGTGTAGTTGTTCTGCTGAAGTCCTGCAGTTTGTGTTTTTTCCTAACTTGTGAATCGGTGTCACTTAACATAAAAATGTAAGGTATTTATGAGCTCGCCCGTCCATACAGTTCTTAAAACATTTACCGGGAGACAGTGATAGACAGTAATGTCAATTAAATCCGGTATGTCAGTGCTGTGCTGGAGTGGTTCAAACACAGTGAGGTTGTACCATGTGCATATATAGTGTCTGCAGTATGTGTATACCTTATCAAAGTGACAGGGATGTTATTAAATGACGGTGGAAGCCACTGCAGTATGTGAGAGAGTGTATGTGCACAGTCTTAAAACGATTATGTGAAAGGTTTATGCAGGTAAGTACACACACATTTAAACAAATTAAGCAACACAGACCCCTGATCATGTGAGTTGCATAAAAGATGCGAATTAAATACACATTTGAGGAATGTGTTTTTGTTTAAAAGTAGGAACTGAATATTTCATACGTTCTGCAATTAAGCCACTAAACTGTTGGATAAAGTTTAAACATGTTAACCTGGACCGACCTTCGTTTACCGCTCTGCTGTAGCTTTGTTGGAATGTTCTTGGATTTGAAAGGCTGAGATTGTTAAAAAGCTTCTATTCAGTTAATCAACTTGAGTTGATCAATTTCTGTGGATAGAAATCAGATTCAGACACATCAATATTCCCATGGATGTAAGGAACAGCAGACCAGCTCCTTAGCACTAATTACACTCTTTAATTACCCCTCCCCATTATTTACATCAGAATGTAGTTTCAGTAAAGGAAGCTCACCCATTTACAGTTGGGTATTTACAAAAACAATTTCAGTGACGATATCAGATCAAAATGTGGAGGCTGAGAGTGAACGAGGCAGCTGGCGACTGTAGCAGTCTGTAGAACAATAAGCTGACAGAAAGGGATTGTGTGTCATTCTGGTATTTGCATGATCAATGGCTTCACTCATGAGTGCCCCACTAAATGATTATTGATCCATCCAACACATTCTTCAGACTGGGCCAATCAGCTTTAACCGAACCTTTAAATGTATTTATGCTGTGGTGGAGATTAACTTGCTTGCTTTGAATAGTGAAATCTGACTGTCCATGGTGGTGGAAAACAACATTTGTTATGAATTTAAGTTTTATTTAATCAAGATTAGCTGCTAATTTGCATATTTTCCTTTCTTTTACTGCTTATCTTTAATTTAAGTAATTCGTTAACCCAGTTGAAGGTAAAAACAATCAAATGAATAAGTTACCATCAGCAGCTCTTTTTCAGAGTTGCAAATTTTTTTTCGGATCAATTTCACTTCAAAGAAGAGTGGACTGTAATTGCGAAAACACTTGTGGTTTGAAAGAAGAGTCTACGTACAGTATCGGACCTCACTTGACAGCTCTGTTGCTGCCACAGGGAATCCGACTCCTGCATTATTCAACTTCCTCCTTTCATCTTTTTTTTTCCATCCCCCTCTCGTCATTCTCTAACAAGGCTCCTCATTCAAACTCTCCACATCATCTTCCCCCTGTTCCACCTCTCCCCGACGTGAAGGGTTTACCTTTCACATTTTTCTGGTTGCTCTTTTTCATTTGACTTGTCTCTGCACCATCTCACTGCGCATTGCTCTCTCTTTTTTTGCATCTGAAGGAGAGTTATGTAAGCATCTGAACAGAGGTAGAAAAAAAAACAATGAATACAGAGAGAAGAGGCAAAACACAGAAACCATTGTCCTCGAAAATTTAAAGCAAACAATCTTATAAACAACCTGAGTAAAACAGAGTATCACTGTGTTATTTAAGGCCAACTCTGCAGTTATCATGAAAATCAAACTTCCAAATGGCAAGAAGCATGCAGGAAAAAGGCGAACTATTGCTTATTCCCCATTGCGGAATTTCTTCCACCAAATGAGTCATTTAACATCTGACATTTTCAGTCAGCGATGTAGAAAAGCAGAGCACCAAACATCTTTCCAAGCCTCTTTGCAACCCAGGCTAATACTGGAAATGCAATGAGTCTTCCCTCTGCTAAAAAGGTCACGCACAGTGGTAAACGTGTTTTTGGTTTGTTTATTAGTCTCTAATTTCTTCCTCCAGAATGCAATGTTCTTTTAATAACTGGCTGCTGTGTACGTCTGCCTCCAGAGACACACGAGAGAAGAGAAGTGGTAAGGATAGAGCAGGAAAAGGAAAAGGGATAGCTATACAGAGAAAGATAAACAGATTTAAAATCAGGTTCATGTCAAAGGGAAGACAAGAGCGCAGAGAGAGGGGTAAGGAGAGAAACAGGGGGAAAATGAGAGTGTAACCAGATCCATGCTAGAGAGGCTTGTTTTCCACTCTCACCTACAAGCCTCTTAACCTCTTCCTCTGTCCGACCACATTATATTTTTAGTGAGCCTCTTCTCTTTCTTCCCTTTTCTTTCCTCCTCATCTTCTTCTTTTGGATAATCAGTCACCTGAAGCACTGATAATCCAAAAAGAAGAATGCAGTCAAACAGAAAGCAGGGATGATGGATAGGCAGACAGGAAGCTGGTATCTTGATAGAAAGAAATGTCTGTGAAAGCTGAAAGTAATAACACTCTTCTCTTTCTATAAAATTTACTGAAAGAACTTAATTACCTTGTCTGCTGTTTAAAAAGTCAATAGTCGTGATGATTAATCATACAAAAGAATAATATAATATAAAATATCAAGTAGAATGACATCACGTTTTGTTTTTGTAACATCTAGCTCATTAGAAAACCACACTCATGCATCTTGTTGATTTACTTCGTAATCCACTAACAGTCAAACCCCCCATGTTTACATGCATTAGCAGCTTAATTTGGCACTTTAATGTACAGTTGAGTATGTGTGCACATTGTGTCGGTGGATTCATCAAGCCTTTCAGTCTACTGTATGTAAACTGCGTGTTTGTGTGTGTTTATGGGTACACGCATGCTCCCGCGTGTATATGCAATATGCCCCAGCGTCAGTGAAAGGAAGTGGAAAATATGCATTTTCCTGCCTTCGAATGTGTGTGTGTTTGTGTCAGAGCGAGAGCGAGAGCAGACTTGTAAGTATCTGCAAATGGACGTGAGCTGCCGTTGTTGTATGTGCACACATTTGTTTATGTGTGGGTTTGGAGAGCAGTGCTCGCCCACATTGACCTGTGTCAGGAAAGAAGACATGTTTTTGAATCCATGCCTTTTCTCACTTGTTCTACCTCAGATCAATCTCCATACTGTGATATCGCTCTGTTAATTTACTACATGAATGTGAGGCGGCCAAAGAACCACTATACCATTATACCATTATATATTCTACTGAGAAAAAAGGGGTTAAAGACAGGAGGATGTGGTTCTGATAGGAGAAAGTGTAAGAGGTTAGTTTTCTTCATGTGCACCAGATGGTTTACAGTATTAATACTAGTGGTATTATCTTAAGGTGGCTACAATAAATACCTTCATATTTACAATGTATTTCGTTCAGGTCAGTGTTGGGCCTGTTTGGGGTTGAGTCTCACCACCAAAGTGGATACGAACCTCAACAGTTACTGAATTCATGACTGAACTGAACCACGTCTACATCCATGCTCCTCTGTATCTGCTTTGTGTGTAAATGTGCGACTCTTTAAAAACAAGTTTGTCATATTAACTTAAAACATGATAGTATGTCTATGTTGAATTCACAGCCTATTTCCACTGCCCAACATGTGTTCCTGTTTCACACTTCAGGTGCCTGATGCCATCCAGAAGTGCCAGCGTGCCGGCATCACCGTGCGCATGGTGACGGGAGACAACATTAACACAGCCAGGGCCATAGCTATCAAGTGCGGCATCATTCACCCAGGAGAAGACTTCCTCTGTATCGACGGCAAAGAGTTCAACAGGAGGATCCGCAACGAGAAAGGAGAGGTATTGTAATTTCTGTCTGTGAGCCAGAGAGCGAGAGAGGCCGGAAGAAGAGAGACTTGATAAGAGAAAGAAAAAAACTGCAATCACTTGTCCTATTTCCATTTGTGTGTGTGTGTTTGGACGAACGTGTTTGTGTGTGTGTGTGTCCAGGTGGAGCAGGAACGTATTGACAAGGTTTGGCCTAAACTCCGAGTTCTGGCCAGATCCTCCCCAACCGACAAACACACACTGGTCAAAGGTAAACTGGTTGCACTGTTTCGTATTCTGATTAACTTTTGCCAAAGCAGCAAATATGTGATATCAATATGATCAGTGCTGTCGTACATACATACAAACAAAGATCACGTTGAACTGTGTTGCCTTTCCTCATTTCCAAATGCTGCATTCAAAGTTTATGCACCACTGTGTGTGTGTTTGACAGGAATCATTGACAGCACGATGGCAGTGCAGAGGCAGGTGGTGGCTGTGACAGGAGATGGGACCAATGACGGACCTGCTCTAAAGAAAGCTGACGTTGGCTTCGCCATGGTAAGCAGCCCCTCTTTTCAGTTTTTTTTCCTGTGTGTGTGTGTGTGCGTGTGCGCGTGTGTGTGTGCGTGTGTCTTTTCTTGTTTGCCTTCTTGTGAGACTGATCTCAGTCAACACCCGCAGACGTCTTCCTCACCTCTGCAGCATTTAGGGGTTCCTTCTCAGGAACTCATGCCTCAGGCTGTGTGGATTACCAGCTCCCCCTAGTGGATTTCTGGGCTCTGGGTTTCCCTGCAGCGCATTACTCAGATTTATCAGACAATTGCTAGAAAATAAAAAATAAACCAAATACAGATTCTGTTCTTTCTGCAAATCCCAATTTAATATGTATTTGTTCTTTGGCTGTAGATTTCTCCCCTCAACAATGAATTATTATAGATCATGCACTACACTATTTCCTCCTCACTGCCAATTGCACAACTCTGTGGTTTCCAAATTCTTTAAGCTAAAGTAACCTTTCATTAACGCCACCCATCAATTCCTATTTACTCTATTATGACATTATTTCACACTGGATGTTATTCCCACTCAGGAAGTGTGTCCTGCTCCTCCCATCAATATGAGAGTCCTATCATCAAACCACCAACACACACAGTAATTATTCTGCATGAACCACTGTAAAGTGTAATAGGAGCCTGTTTTTATTTCTGACTGCTCTGTCTCTGCTCTTTTCCAGGGTATTGCTGGTACAGATGTGGCCAAGGAAGCGTCAGATATCATCCTGACCGACGACAACTTCAGCAGCATCGTCAAGGCGGTGATGTGGGGCCGAAACGTCTACGACAGTATCTCCAAGTTTCTTCAGTTCCAGCTTACTGTCAACGTTGTGGCCGTCATAGTCGCTTTCACCGGCGCTTGCATCACACAGGTCAGATTGTTTGTGTGTGGGCATGTGACTATATCTAATGTACATAAGTAGATACAAAGTTATATGCAACATTACATGGAAACACATATCATCACAAGAAAGCAAACATTGCATTTAATATAAGTAGATACTTTTCCGTCTATCATATTTAACAAATAATGAAGATGATTAACCCTTTGCCTCTAAAATATCAAAATGGAACAGCCTGATTGGATTATATCAACATTTTTGCAACCTAGTCTGTGATTCAGAATTAAGAGTTATTGAGACTTTTTACAATTTTCCTCACATGTCTGCAGGACTCTCCTCTGAAGGCGGTGCAGATGTTGTGGGTGAACCTGATCATGGACACTTTTGCATCCCTGGCTCTGGCAACTGAGCCTCCCACAGAGTCTCTGCTGAAGAGGAAGCCATACGGTCGCAACAAACCCCTCATCTCCAGCACCATGACGAAGAACATCCTGGGACACGCGGTCTATCAGCTCATCATCATCTTCACTCTTCTCTTTGTTGGTACGCGATGTAATTTTGCTCAGCAGTTCTGCACCTCGTCTATGTTTAAGGACAACCAACTACTTGTCTTTTTTTATTGTCCTTGCAGGCGAAAAAATCTTCGACATCGACAGCGGCCGTAACGCACCTCTCCACTCTCCTCCATCTGAACACTACACCATTATCTTCAACGCCTTTGTTATGATGCAACTGTTTAATGAGATAAACGCTCGAAAAATCCATGGAGAGAGAAACGTGTTTGAGGGTATCTTCAAGAACCCCATCTTCTGCACGATTGTTCTTGGCACCTTCGCTGTGCAGGTTAGCTGACGCAAATTATTTGATTTTAAATGGAAACTACTGAAAGTCTACTTTTTATTTTCATGTTTTTGGAGTCTGACATGTGCTTTGCATTGTGCAGATTGTAATTGTGCAGTTTGGGGGGAAGCCATTCAGCTGTAAACCTCTGAACGTGGAAAAGTGGATGTGGTGTGTTTTCCTCGGACTGGGAGAGCTTCTCTGGGGCCAGGTAACATGCAAATACAGCTGATCTGTTCTCTCTCTGTGCATCTCTACAGTGAGCATGTCGCCTTTCCTTATTCACCCAATGTCCTGTCTTCTCTTTGGGTTAGGTCATATCCACCATACCCAATAACAGGTTGCGTTTCCTGCGGAGGGCCGGCCAGTTGACCAAGAAAGATGAGTTACCAGACGAGGACTTAAATGAAGATAATGAGGAGATTGACCACGCAGAGAGGGAGCTGAGGAGGGGACAGATACTCTGGTTCAGAGGACTCAATCGTATTCAGACTCAGGTGAGAACACAAGGGCATACGTTCACTTCCTATGTTACAAGTTGCTGTTTCACTCCCCAGAAAGATTTGGCTGGTTTGGTAAAATGTATGATTTTGTATATCCTTTAAAGGTACAATATACACCAAATGTAGTTGTCTTATTGGCATGCCTATATGTTTTACTGTCTTATAATCAGTTTCCATTAGCCAATACCTTGCAACCTTACCCCCAAGAAGAAGTCCGATGTTATGTTACGTTATTTTATTTGAAGATGACTTATCTAGGTTCATGAAGATGCAGCGTCCTCTCATTCTGTCTTGATGTGACTGTCAGCGCGGATCTGTGGAAGATGGATGGTTGAACCTCTGGGTGAAAGGCAACTGGAAATATGAATATACATATATGTTCTCACTGTTATCAACTCTGCAGACCGTCATCACTGTGATATTCAGGACAGTTTGAATCTGTGTTGGATTTTGGTTAAATTATTTCCTGACGGTCCAGGATGAAGCTAACCCAATCATACTGCAAGTAGCTTGTCCTTGAATCAGTCAAATCACCCCAATTGCCAAAAAAAAGAATCTTACCCACCTCGGGTGGTTTCTGATAGTTTTGGTTTTATCTGTTTAAGTTTTGAGGTATTTCTGTCTGGGATTTCTAAAAATCTAGGTCACTTATTTAACTGAGGTGAATGGAATTTAGTTTTTTCCTTCAGCAGACAAAGTTAACACCTCTTTCTACAAACAGTGTCACTGATACTGTAATTCTCTGTTTTCTTCTGGACTATTTCCTTTGTTGAAAGAATTCCCATGAGTTATGTCCTTTGATTATGCAGAGTAAGGGGGGGGGGGCACTGTTTCAAGAGATAATTCTGCTGTTTTAAAACTTTTAACTTTCATGCATTATATTCATATGAGGGTTGAGGCAGAAATCTGAAGGACTGGACAAGTAAATCCAAAACTTGACACCACAGATGATAGAGAACATGTTTCTTTTTATTGCTGTTTGTAAAGTGAGTGAATTGACCATTTAAGTTGAACAATTTCTTTAAGGGGATACATACATCATGTCATGACTGAGACAATCCCTTTAACCACCTGAATCACCCAGTCTGTCGACCTGTGTTACCATTTGGTCTGTGTCACTCTGAGCAGCCATTTGTCCTCTCCTGTCCCTGGTCTCCTCCCACAGATTGAAGTAGTCAACACCTTCAAGAGTGGCACCTCCTTTCAGGGGGCGGGGGCTCTGAGACGCCAATCCTCCACCACCAGCCAGACCCAGGATGTAACCAATGTTTCTAGTCCTAGTCACGTGTCCTTGTCCAATGCCCTTTCCTCTCCTACAAGCACTACTGCTGCTACTGCTCCTCCCACTACTGGTCGTGAGTCCGAACTCTGTCAGTCTGCTTCTCTGCTCTCTCTGCTTCAGAGGTGTCATCCTGTTCTCAACACAAAGTTACTCATCTCTAAACATTGTCAGATTTTTTATTCTCCAAACAAATGACTGTGATGGTCTCTGTTTGAGGTTGGCACCTCTGAAGATTCGTCTTTCTGTTTTTTTGTTTCTTGCTATCTGCTTTTTTCATTTCCTCTCTTTCTTCTGTCTTTTTGCTGTTCATACTGGATTTCAAATTCATCTTGATATCTCCTGCCATGCTTGGGTGTACTGTCCTCTCATTGGTGGATGTGTGTTTGTTTCCCCAGAGTGCTAGGAGCGCAGGACTAAGGGTGATACCCACGGCGTGACATTTCAGGTTGTGAGTTTGTCTCCCTCTGCTCATCCCTCCATCCATCATCCCATTCTCCAATCCTCCCATTTTATATGTCTTGACAGACGTTAACGTGAACTAATGACAATCAACTCACCAAGGGAGTGGGTAAACATTCAAGTATAAGTTGCACTGTTGTCTTACTCCATGTGTGAGTTCACTACTGATGAGGCAAATCACACTGGATTGACCTTCAATTTATTTACTGTATCCTGCAGCCGTGATCTGCAGTGACTAGAAAACATAAAGAAGCTACAGTATTTGATGAGGAACTGTCTGTTTGAACAGAAATAAAGATCCCAACTGTTGTGCTCAGGGTGTGTTGAACAGGAATGGAGGGGAAACACTGTAAAGCAGTTCTGTACTGTACCAATAATTCATCCTGTCTCGTCGCTTCATACTGTCAGTGTAGCTCACTGTCATGTTGCCATAGTTACGGCCATAGATCCTTTACAGCAGCAGCAGTGTACTTTCCACCCCCTCCCACCCCTTTCTGACACCCCATCAGTGTTACTTGTCAGACATCTTGTCACATGAACTCATCCAGACAGGCTCCTCTTATTATTTTCTTCTGTTTTGTCTCCATATAACCTACTGTGCTGCAGTTAATAGAAAATATAAAGTATTCCCAGACATTGTAAAATTCTATTTCATTTCTGTACTGTTATATTATATCGTAACAGTACACTGCGGTGGTTAGTGTAATATTATTTACCGATCACAACCTTCCATGAAAATGGGAAAAACTATAATGAATTCACACAGTGTTAACTGGAGTTTAGAATTTAAAGTGTTTTGGGTTGAACTTACCATCACAGCATACAGTGGCACAATGATTGATTGATGAGAAAATATCTTTGATGATCAATTAACAAAAAGCATAAAATTTTCCCTGTTCATGTCAATAGAAATTGATTCATTTTGGGATTTGAGATTTTGAATTTGGTTGTGCAAAATAACATCATCTTCAGAATTATAATGCACATTTTTACAAAAATTTAAATAATTAAACAATAATCATTAGCTTCAATCCCGGAAATATGTCATTGTTGCCACTATTTTCATTGGTAGTCTCTCATAACTTTACTATTGCTTCATTGACAATGAGCATGTCAGTATTTGTTAGAGCAGGTATTTCAGTGGAATAAAATTTTGCTAAAATAAGTTCCATCATTTTTTGTATAGATTCAGTTCACAAAAATCCTTTACAGTTAGTTTTTTACCTGCAGAAATAATAGTACAATATCAACCTATCTATATAACCCAGAGTGCTATTGATTCAATTCAATGTTATAACAGCAAATATTTATTATTAACAACCAAATGATTCCTATGTAACTTCAGCATATGGACGATATGGCACAGGCAGTCAGGATTTATTACAAACAACCCTCCCATAGTCACCTACCTGAAGAAACCAACAGATACATGTTGATAAATAATTATTGAATAATTATTCTAGTTTTTTGGGGCCTATACTTGATTGTTTACTTGTGCATGGAGTTGAGAACGTGCTTTGACCGTCAGACCACTGATACTAAATCTATTATATTCATAGATTTCACTGTTGTGTGTTTTGTGTCAGCAGTCTGTGTGCTGGTGTCCACTTCCTCACCATCCTGTTGTCTTGTTGCATGTTACTTGTGTTTCGTGTTTACCTCCTGTGTTCATGAAATATGAACCTGCTGCATTCGCCTGTGTCTTAATGCCACTGTTTTTATTTGGATGTGTTGTTACACTGCTTGTGTTGATCCAACCTCCTGGTGCAGACTTGACTCTCTCCATCGCCCTGTGTGGCAACCATGCTTTAACCACCCTGTGCTGTGTGTGTGTGTTTGTGTGTCTCATCCAGAGTCTGTGTGGATATTGTCCCAGACGGTGCTCTGGTGCCTCCAGAGGTTTTTAAACCACCCGATTGGATCGCTCAGATCTAACCTCCTTCCTTCTTACTTACCTCGTCCACCAGATTTCTTCAAACTTGCATGTGATATTCTCCTTTTAATTTTTTCTGTGAGCATTCCATTTATTAACGTGGCTTGTTTCTAGGTATACAGCACATTGGACAAAAGCGTATACTTACAACGAGCGTTTGTGTTGCTTCGTAATTTGTTTTTTCCTTGAAATGTATGATTTTGTCGTGTTTTTTATGATTGTTTTCCTTGCGGTTTACCTTAGTGCACGCTACAGTTGAGTGACTTGTGAACTGTAGTAATCTTGTGAAAGCTGAACACAGACTGCAGTTGCCTTCTCTCTTCCTGTTCCTTCCCCTTCTCCTCCCTCTCCACCTCTTTGACCTCAAATAAGAGGGCCCCCCCTTCCCTCCTTTCTCTTCCATTCCCCCTCTTCTCTTTCATCCCGAGGGTCCCTCCAACCTTTCCATTTAATCTCCATCTGCAACACTCATCGTTTTTCCTTCTCTTTCTTCCCTTTGTTACGATAGATCCGCGTTGTGAATGCATTCCGTAGCTCCCTCTATGAAGGCCTGGAAAAACCCGATTCCAGAACATCCATCCACAACTTCATGACACACCCCGAATTTAGGATAGAAGACTCCACGCCCAACATTCCCCTCATCGACGACATGGACGATGACCCCGCTCGGAGGAGGAAGATGTACTCCAGCCAGCCCTCGTCCCCCAACAAGAATAACAATGCCATCGACAGTGGCATCAACCTCACCATCGACACCAGTAAATCGGCTGCTTCCTCCAGCCCCGCCAGCCCTCTGCACAGCCTGGAGACCAGCCTCTAACCCTGATCCAAAACCTCAGCTCTAACCTCTCGATCGCCTCTCCTTGAAGTCTGGGTGTGCTTCTTCCTAGTTCCCTCCAGACCTTTAATGCAACCTCACACCTTGTCAACCCCCAAATTTCACCCAGTTCCGGCTGAATTGTTCTCCTCCAGCCCCCTCAGATCCCTTAAGCTTGAGCTCTTAAAGCTCTCTGTTCCTCTCGAAATGGAGAAAATCTAAAGTAATACAGCAAGGTGAAAAAAAAACTAACTAGCATACAATCAAAAAAGCGCAGTAAAGCCACAAAACCTACACAGCCATCCTGCTTTAATGGTTGTATGTGTACAGTGGCGGCAGTTGTGGTTTGTATGACTATATGCGTGTTAGCATGTACTGTATAAGCGTGCCGCGGACTGCACATATGTATGAACTGTGTCCTTCGTGGCACCGGGAGGAGACGATACAGAGGGACACACTGCTGAGGAGTGAAAATCACAAAACAGGACAGACTTTAAAACTCCGCTCACACTCCCTCTCCTCAACACTAACATTGTCAATACTGATTATAGTTTAAATTAAATTGAAGAGCATTGTTATTATT